TTATTATTTTAATCATATATATTTTTTTCTTTTTACTTGTAGATGCATTTATGTTTCTTGAATGTTTTAATTAAATTTTTTTATTTGTTTTTACCTTATGCATTTCTGCATCATTATGTAAATAAAGGTGGGCAGTCCTTCTTGGGTCAGCTGCTGTCCTATTGGTCAACAGACAGGAAGTAGCAGGATCCACATATATAGATCGATTGTGCATGTTTGTGCTGCCTCAGTTTAGCTTAAAGTTTAGTTTAAAACAAATGAAAGGAGGAAAAACACCTATCAACAACAAAACATATTTTCAAAATTTATCATTTGTTGGAACTAAGCTGGAAAAATAAATGACTGTCAATTAAATTATAAAACATGAGGGAATGTTCACATCTTTAAAAATTTATTGGTGTATTTTAGGTGTATTTATTTGTTTATTGGGCCATTTATATATTTCTACTTTTATTTTTAATAATGTCAGTTTTGGTCTTCCATAACGTTTTTKTTATCTGCTGTTTTTCAGGTCCTGATGTGCCACAGTCAAACGGGTCAGCAGTTCATTCTCATGTCTTCTACCCAGGCAACCTCACACACAGAGGTAATTCTTCACAAACACAGTTTTTTAAGTCAGAAGTCAGAGAACCAGATTTAATCTTTAGATTTAAGGGCCSAGTTAGCAATCCTGTACAGTGACTGTCAGTGGATGGATGTTGGTGGATAATACCTCCTGTAATAAATCTCACAGATCTTTTTTCTATCACTGTAGGATTTGTATGTGCATTTATTGCTCAATAACAAATTGATTTGACTTGTTTTTGTTGTGTTTTCAGACATGTACTACTTTGTTTTCGCACCAACTCTTTGCTACCAGCTCAACTTCCCACGGTCTCCTCGGATACGCAAACGCTTCCTGATGAGAAGACTTTTTGAAATGGTAAGAGTGATTAATTAAAAATGACGTTTTTAACGTCAATAAATGTCACCAATCACATCCAATCAGGGATGTTCCTGCCGACAACGCCAAACTGTTATCAAAGACAGAAATACGTGGTCCAAGAATGAAGGTACTCCGTGAGACCGATCAGCTGAGTTTTATTGCAACAGCAGAAGCACAGAGACAGGCCAGGTTGTTCTCTGTGTTTCCTGCTGTTGCAATAAAACTCAGCTGATCATCTCATGGAGTACCTTCATTCTTGGACCACGTATTTCTGCCTTTGTTAAATAAATATTACCATAACAACGTCGTGGTTTGGTCACTCAGTGAAATTATACATACACGGCTTTTCTGCCCAAAATTATTGTTAGTTGTTTGTACTGCTCAGAAAAGTGCTTCAGAACATTCTTTAGGATCATCATTTTGACATTTCCATCATGGGACCTATAGATAATTCATCATATTTTGATAAAATTATTATTAAAATATTTATGATGCGGTTCTGTTTTTAATTCAGGAGATTATAAAAAAATCCTTCATTTTATGAAAAGACTCTCTTGATTCAAGAGAAAACTGGTTTTTAAGAAAATTGCTGCTTACCAATTAATTGTTAGTCAATCTATAAGATAAATCAACTTCAGATTAATTCATTAATCCATAACTTGCTTCCCTAATTTATACAGGAATGAAATTAATTTATATCTACTCATTCATGTAATTAAGTGTTTTAATGATTTGGCCGATTAATCGAAAAAATAATCGACAGATTAATCGATCATTCAAATAATCATTAGTTGCAGACCTAGATGAATTATTAGTATAATTAATAACAGTGGAACATACATGTTTGTTGTAACCATAAATTTATGTCTCTTGCAGCTTTTTCTCATGCAATTGTTGGTGGGATTGATACAGCAGGTATGTAGGAACTGTAGACAAACACAGCTTTTTTTTATTATGATTGTGAGATGCTCTAATGGTGTATATTTATTATAACACAAATGTATCTTTCAGTGGATGGTTCCCACTATTCAAAACTCAATGAAACCATTCCAGGTAAGTAAACTCTATGTATTTTTTTAATGTTTATGTTTCAAAATGAATTGACAAAACCATAAGTCAGTATTGTCCCTGTGCGTCACTCTGTTTCTCACAGGAAATGGACTTCTCTCGGATGGTCGAGCGGCTGCTGAAGCTAGCTGTGAGCATCACAAGTTGACCTTTTTATGAACTGAACACATTCTTAACACCTTCATTTCTCTCCTTTCCTAGGTCCCTAATCATCTGATATGGTTAATTTTCTTCTACTGGTTTTTCCACTCCACCATGAACTTTGTGGCGGAGCTGCTGCAGTTTGGAGACAGGGAGTTCTACAGGGACTGGTGGTGAGTATGGATCAGACGGCACTTATTGATGTTTAATCACATGTGCAGTTGTGTGAGCAGAAACCACCGTAGAGATTAAARGGCGCTCTAAAGAAACATCCATTCAAATTCAAAAATTCAAATTTGAAAATACTGAGTTGGTAATTCAAAAGAAGCACGTTCTTCTGGATGAACAGATCATGTGTCGCTACTATAGATGATAAATGGAAATATTAAGCATTTTCTCTTGAAAACCTAGTGGTTCCACAAATCTTTGCTTTTTCTGTCAGGAACTCTGAGACGGTCACATATTTCTGGGCTAACTGGAATATCCCAGTGCACAAGTGGTGCCTGAGGTAAGCAGAGATTCGTCCGTTTTCAAACCATCTTCCAGAATCGTGGCCATCGTGATGAAGGCTTTGTGTTTTGCAGACATTTCTATAAGCCGATGTTGAGGAGAGGGACAAACAAGTTTTTGGCTCAGACTGCTGTCTTCCTGGTTTCTGCCTTTTTCCACGAGGTAAAAAATATACTGTATATTAATAATAATAATAATTGGTGATAAATGTGTGTGAGAAGTGTTTTAGTCACTATTCTATTTAAAACCCATCTGTTTGACAAAATCAACTAAAAATTGAAAAAGGACCAACTTCCATGATTAGAAAATGGTCATTTTAAGCAATTGTTCTTTATGATATTTAGATATAACACTCTTAATGATGATATGAATAAAAGTTGTATTTAATCTCCTCTAAACCTTTCATTTTTCCTTCTCAGTACCTGGTTAGTGTTCCCCTGAAGATGTTCAGACTCTGGGCTTTTATGGGAATGATGGCTCAGGTGATCTTTTCTGCTCTGCTAATGTTGCTCCTACRTTCTCACCTGCAGCCACCTTTTACAACAGACCTGTGCTCCCATCCTGACCTCTGACCTTCAACCCATTCAGGTTCCTCTGGCGTGGTTTGTGGGTCGCTACCTGAACGGAAATAATGGCAACGCAGCCGTGTGGATGTCGCTCATCATCGGACAGCCTGTCGCTGTGCTGATGTACGTTCATGACTATTACGTCATTCACCACGGGAACACTACATAATGCTGAACACATACCTGTGAGATGAGCCAATGAGAAAATGTGAAGCAAATTGAGGCGACGATACGCGTTTTGCACTTCAGAGGACTGGACCACATCATGTTGGACGTTTAATGGATCTGAACAAGACAGAAGTGCTTGTTGTTAAGCTCAAGTCCACTCTCAGATGTTAAACATGCTGTAACTTTGWCAGCCTACAATCGTAGTAAACTTTAACAATGCATCTTCCCTTTAAGTGTTTAATTCTGTACCCAAACTGAAGCAACGATTCGGTGTCTCTTAAAGGAAGTGAGCCGTCCTTCGCTCAACAAAAGCAAATTAATGAAAAAAAATGTTCTTGAGCTCAACAATTCCTGAAGCTTAAAAAGCACTTTAACGGACTGAGAAGTGGGAGCAGCTGCTTGCAAACAAGAACTGCTTCAAAGGTGGATGTGCTGGGGGGAATAAAAAATAAAAAAAAGAAAGCCCATCAGGTGAAGTGAACGTGAACCACTGCCAAGCAAGCACAAGCTAGAACCGGAGCCGGGCTACAAGGAGCCAGAATGAAGCTGAGGGGGTTTTATATCAGTGATGAAGTCGTGAACCTCAAGCAGCCAAAAAGAATAAAACTGCTTTTGTCAGTTTAAGATGTTGTAAGTTCTTGGGTTAGTAAAAATACCTTAATGACCTTTTTTTTTTAAATTCATTCTGTAAATTCCTGATTCCTCTTTGGTGCAATACAGTATTATATATATATTTAATATATATTTAATTAAAATTGTGTTCAAATGATTGAAGGTAGCACAGACTCTGAGAGGAACCAAGACACTTTGTGAAATAATTTGTACAACGATGGATCGTCTTTCTTTCATAGAAACGTAAATTATTGTAACTTCATGATGTAATTTTACATCTGATTCATCTTTAGGTTGAACTCGGCTGATTTATTGCTTCATTTATTTTTGTTTTATTTTGTCTTGTCCTCTGTGATTTGAAGCTACTTTTTCAACCAATGAATCTTTTTTGCACTTTAAAAAACTGATGCATGTTGTGGATTAAAGCAATAGATTTCTGTGAAAGTTGTTGACAATGAAAAGAAAGGAAACAAGTTTTACAGTTTGTAGTTTGATGACTCAAAGTTTGTCCTTCGGAAGTCCAGAAGCCAATTAGTTGTAGTTTTAATTTGATGTTATTCACAGTACTTGGAGTTGTCTTAAAGTCTATTTTTTGCCAAAAACTGACACCGTTGCACGCAGTTATTACCATGCAGATCAGTATTTTAGATTTTATTCAGTTCTTCAATGAAATATGTTTTTAATTTCATCCTGAGCCTCGTTTGAAAAAATGTTCAGAGTTGCATCGAATTTCAGGGAAAACATTCAAACCATCAAAACAATTTCCAGAAGAAAAGAACTGAATACGATCATTCCTTCAAATTAAGTGCCTGCAGTTAAAAAATAAACCTTTTTAAAGTCAAACACAGAAGAAATGTGAGAATATATTCTGTACAGTAAGTAAACTTGTGTTTCTGCTGATTTATTTCTGAATGTAACCAAAGTATTTTTGCAAAAAGTACTTTGTAAAGCAGAGTTCCTCCTTTTTGTTTCTGGTTTAGCAATGAATTTTGATCAAGTGTTTAAGTGTATTCAAATAAAAAAATGAACCAATCGTGTAAATGAACTGGCCTCACTTAGATCTGCAAATATGATCAGTGGTCAGCGACAGATCACATCATCAGTYACAGTAATGATTGAGGTTTTAGTGRTATCTCAGCTTTAATGTTGGATAGTTATTTCCTTAAGTGCCACATTACCTGAAGACTAGTTTGTTAAAATATTATTTTAACCTTCTGATAACTTCAKAAATGCCAATCTAAAATTTGCTTTTTGCAGATAAAGTATCGTACTATGGTTACATGACTTTAAATGTGATTTATAAATTGACAGGATGCAATTCTCCTCTTGAACAGTTGGTGTCGCTGATGAGAAAATATTAGGAAAGTCTTGAAGAAGCTCTCCACAACTCAAGATGAGATGTGAAAGGAGAAAAAAATGCAATTGTTTTTTTTTACAAACAAAATCTTAAATTCAAAAAAGTAACAATAAAAAAATGTAATTTCCAAATCAACGCAGGGGTTTTTTGACACCAAAAATAGGTCCTTACTGAGATCCTTCGACACAAATTACTGACTTCATTAAGAATGAATTTACTGGCCAGTTTGCACTCTTGCGTGACCTTTTTGTGATATATAAAAACAAATATAATGAAAAACTTTACAATCAATAAAAAACTTTATTGTGCAGAAAGAAACACATCATTTGATCCTTAATTTTACAAATAAAACCAGTTACTATCTATACAACATAAATCATAACTAAACATCACATCACACGTGGAGAACGGCAMAGCTCAAAGCTTTACTGCTGCTGCTGCAAAAGAAAAAGAAAACAAGTGTTGGGTAATTGTCTTGCAGCACTTWAATTACTAAAAATACTCAATAAGTTGTGGGTGCATATTCACCTTTGCCTTTTGATTTTGGACAGGCAAGTACAGTTTAAACTCAGCCGGTAATTCATCTTCAGAGTATAGTCTGTCCGAGAAATAGACCCTCCTTATTCGACAGTTTGCATGAATCTGAAAGCAAAACAGGTCCGATGTTAGAGTATAGCTACAGAGATTTTGTGATTACATAATCTGTCTTCAGCTATGTTCCCACTGTAGGCAAAAGTGACTCAAATCTGATTTTATTACCAATATGTGACTCATACATGGATTATTAACATTGTAGTCTGACAGAGGTCACATTTAAATTATCATGTGAATGATAGCTCATAAAAAAAACAGATATGAGCAAAAAATATCAGAAGTGAGCATTAAGACCTGCACTCGCAGCGTCTCCATGTAGTTAGTGCCGTAGGCCCTCCTGGTGAAGTCAGACAAGTTAAACTGGATCTGGTTCCATCCATCATCCAGCCTCATCGGCATCGTGCAGATGAACGGCTTCACACGAGTGGTGCTCTGGTAGTTGCTCGCTCTAAAGCGTCTCCGAACATTTTTGTCATCCAACACCTGGGAGACACAAATACATTTATAGATGCACAGAAAAATCGTTGTGATGGTAAACAAGTCTTTTTAAGTCAGCAGGACATAGAAGGCCTGTGAATCTGTACCTGGACTTCAAAGGTAAAGTACTTCTTTTGATTTTTGATAATCATAACCAAAAATGGTAATTTGATGCCGAGGGTCTTCTTTGGGTCTGCTGGACATGTTATATAGGTCGTGCTGCAGAGAAAAGGGAGTTGATAGAAACAGAGAAACACAAGATACTCACTCTAAACACASTGCTACCAGAAATTACCATACACATTATATTTCTGTAACACACACAGTGATATATGGTTGTACAATTGACTGATTGATGACATATTTAATGTAGGGTGACCAGACGTTCTCGATTTCCGGGGACAGTCCCCATTTTGGATGACTTGTCCCTGGCTAAAACTGTCCCCGGAAAAGTCCCCAATTTGAGCTTTTTATGAATGAGTGGGAAAAGTTGCTTGTAGACTTATTACTGCAAGCGTGACTGTCTGTGAGCTTGTTGTGCAGCACTGTGCACAGGGAGGAGAGGGAAAAAAAGCAGTCAGTCAGCGGCTGGCTCTGTTCCTCACCGGTCAGCTGGTGTGTGATCTGGTTAGAAGTGAGTTCTCCTGTTAAATAAGCTGTTTAAACTCTGCCCACCTGGCCCCGGCTCACTGTTGCTGCAGGACCAGAGTGAAATAAAGCGAGCGGACATGTCTCGGCTGTCAACTGTTAGCTAGCGTTAGCTAAACCTCCACGTTCAAGTTGAATTAAAAATAATGATATGAACTCCTGGACCTGTTTAAGACTGGTTGTTGTTACCTGCAGCTTTTCGACAAGCACAGCCTCACCTGCTGAGTTTAAAACTGTATTATTGTTCTGTATGTAAAACAAGGCGTTCATAGTTTAATTAAGCTTTGTGAAAACTAACATTGTTCAGCTCTGTCAACTGGTTGATCCACAGAAATTCATGTTTTAGATGGTTCTCTGTTTTTCTGAAATTATTTTCTGGAGAATATGGGCAGGTATTATAAGATTTTCTTCTTCTTTCTGCTGCCTTTCATTTTACTTGTGATTTGTAGTTTTTGTACATATATTTTGTTTTGTTTTTAAATTAAATGTATGTCGGCCTGTGATTATGTTCAAGTTTTACAGCGGACTTTTATATTTCTAATTTTGAAATATAATAAATTGGGTCGAATGAAATAATTTGATCAGAAATTGTATTTCGTAGGTTATGTTGTGATATAATGTTTATTATATGTAAATGTGGACAACTGACTGAGCTTTAGAACAGTGGTGGAGTTTTTAGTTTTGTTTCATTTGACAGTCTGTTAGATTAAAATCATATATTAGCAGGTAGAAATATTAAACTAATGATACATAAATTCAGCTATAGTCAGATTGTAATATCAGGGCTCTTCACTGTTGACATTCAGGTTGGTGTTTGGTACCATTTAACGAAGCTAAGTTGAGAACCTGTGAGGTGTTTGTTTCACAAACTAGAAACTTCAATGTGTTTATTGCTCATTTCTCCTCCTGGTCTGGTCAGAGACAGTTTGTGATGTTCTTTGTTTCTGTCATGGAGCAGCCTTCATTTCTCAGAACAAAAATAGACTGATGAGTTTCAGTAGAAAGTTTGTTTGTTTGTTTAGTTATTTAGTCATTTTGAGGCTATAATCAAACATACAGATGCTGATGCTCCAGATACTCAACTACCTAAAAGAAGACCAGGTTTACTTCTCCTGTAACAGTACAGCAGTTTTCAGTTGTTTAAACAATTTTCTACTAGGGTTGGGCAAAATTGTATCATCAGTTCCTCGTGAAAAACTAAGGGAGTCGGACAGAAAACTGTAAATGTATGAACTGTATGAACAGAAAATGATGAGGTGGAAGAGATTATCATCTTAAATGAGCATTTATTTCTTTGGATGAACTTGTAGTTAAAAAATTGTTTTTTTTATATAACATTTTGTAATTTTATCAGCTAAGACCCACCCATTTATAAAAAAATATTATTTAGTTCACACAGACCAC